TGCGGTGCCAAGGGGAGGGGATTGAATTATACATGATATCCATTGCTTTCGCGCCAATTTACTCAGACTCAGCTTTGCTTTGCTACTCACCGTTTGTAATTAGTAAAAGTACACTTAATTCTAAGAATGGAGTTGAGTGGTTTCTTTCCTGATTATTAAATGAAGCAGCACCTGACACTGCCATTTCCATGGAATGAATGCCCACAGCATCTATGAGCATTTTTTCTTTAATGTCCTGATTGTGTCAGATTTGGATTATTGTTGTAGCCTATCGAGTGGGCAGTCTAATACTTCATACTTTGATTCATTAGCAGTATGCTGTTGTTTATATTTTAATGCACTTTTCTTACTCTGCTTCTGTCTCTTAATAATGTTACATTAGGCCTGGATTATTTTATTCTACTACACATAGAATATTCAGGACCCTCTTAAGAGCTTTTTCTCCTGGATCCGGTTCTCTGCAATAGACTCTTACAAGTATTGAAGTTGAAGATGAATTGCTTAACTTTTAAAAAGCATTAACATTTCCTTATCATCATGAACATTTCAGTTTAGAAACACCTTCAAATAATTTATATCAATTGTTTGTATCACTTATTGCTTTATTCCATGACAGCACCATGCTTGTTTATCACATTTATATCTTTCCATAATCAAATGATTCTTAGCAGTCAATGTGATATAAAGAAAAGCAGTGAAAATAACATTAGCATAAAATCAAAACAATATAACAATAAAATATCAAGAATAAAAGAATCTGCCAAATAAAAGAGATGACCTAATTTAATTAGAATGCCACCTGGACAATTCTGTTTCAGTATCTGAACAAAATTAGTGAGGGGATTAGCTTGATTTTCAAAGGAAGATTGTAGCACAAAGCTGGCCTTGCTCCCAAGAAGTAGCTCCTTTTATCCCCCAAAGTGGGACACTAGAAACACTTTCTCCATGGATGACCTAATTGATTAGCAGAGTCTGGTTGGCACAAGCAGCCCTGTAAATTACCCATGTGCCAAAACATACAAAGGCCTTTGTTAGGTCAAACAAGCTTCTTAAATTGCACACAGAAGCTAATTGTACCTAGTGTACAGCCCCAAAGCAAAAAGTGCAATATGTTTGGGCAGCAAGTGCCAGTATTATATAGGCCACTGGATCTGTATGAATTATTGTCCCTGAATTGTATTTAAAATGAAGTTAGATTATTACAAAGGGCCTTGCAATAATCTAACCTGGTGGTAAGAAGGGTGCAAGTTACTGTAACAAAGTTCTCTTCTGCCAAGTAATACTGTAACTGGTGCACTAGTCAGTGCTGGGCAAAGACCCTTCAAATCACAGCTCCCACCTGTTGTACTAGTGAAGATGTGAGACTAGAAGAATTCTCAAATCCTGAATCTGATTCTTTAGGAACAGTGCCCATCTTCCAGTGAAAACATTGATGTCAATGGCAATCGGTACCTTTGACTAGGCATGGCGAGTTTGTTCTATGCCTGCCAATCTCTGATGGTCTTCAAGTACCCAGAAAAGACATCAATAGCATTTCCCCTACCTACAGGGATAGTGATTGAGCATCACCAGAATATGACATAGTGTACCCTGAACTATCAGGTGACCTCACCCAGCAGAGTGAACAGGAGAGAGAAAAGCAATACACACAAAATTCTGTGAAGCAGAGATCATTGATTCACTTCCCCTCTGGAGTGGAGTATTGCAAGATGATATCTGCAATCCTGAGTCCCATAAGGCCATCCAGTACAATACAATGGTCATGGAAATCCACTGAGGACCAGCAGAAGTGACCTGTCCTTGGGAATCTAAGCATTTCGCTATGCAAACTGGCCACATTAACCAGATGGAGAACATGGCATTAACTTTTTTCTAACAGAATTAGTTATTTAAACAGGCACACAGAATGGCAGTCTATTAATATAATAGTGGATAAGATGTTTTGCTTCCCTTATCATTGTAAGTAGGTCTGAACATAGGCATATACTAATGCTTCGTGAGAATCACTTCCTCTCTTAGCATTCTAGCACTTATTTCTGTTGTTTCTGTTAATTTCTGGAAGTCCCCATAAAACAAAGAAGCAACTAGAATTAGACAGCAGAAAGAAGCCACTCAGAAGCAATTTTATATAGTTCTAGGCTTGCTTCCCATTACTAGTGATTTACCAGGCACAGGAAACGGTTGTCTGGCTGGATTTTTGAGAAATGCCCCAAGTGTTCTCTAAAAACAATTTGGATCCATTAGGCCCCTGATGACGAACTTATAGCGCGCATGCCTGAAGTGGCATGCGGAGCTATGGTGCCTGGCACACGTGGGGCCACCCGTTCCTTTTTTGGGTTTCTGGCATGCATGCATGCACGACGATTAGCTGGCCTTCGTGCATGTCTATCTAGACCCCTTCCAGTCAGGCTTCAGACCCGGTTACAGCACAGAAACCGCTTTGGTCGCATTGATGGAT